ATGAACCCGAAGCTGATAAATAAAAGACACAATGGTGAAACTGCACTATAGCAAAGACAAACTCTTGAAAGCAACTAGAGAATATCACAAACAGTTACTAAGACTGAGAAACAATTTTTCATCAGCTTCCATAGTGTCTCAATGACAATGAACTTAACACCTTTGAATGCTGAGATAAGATAAATGTTAGCTTAGAATTCTATATTCAATTAAAATATCATTTTATTTATCTTTTTTCTTAAATATTTTTTAATATTTATTTCTGAGAGAGAGAAAGAGAGAGAGAGACAGAGAGAGAGAGAGAGTCCGAAGACAGGCTCCAGGCTCTGAGCTAGCTGTCAGCACAGAGCCCGACACGGGGCTTGAACCCATGAACTGGGGGATCGTGACCTGAGCTGAAGTCGGCCGCCCAACCGATTGAGCCACACAGGCACCCCAAAATATCATTTTTAAAATGAAGGTTAAATAAATATATTTTGAGAACATTGAGAACAAGTCTCCCTTGCTAAATTAACACTTAAAGGATTCATGTCAAGAAGAAAGAAATTGAATTCAGAAGATAGCAGTAGGACATAAGAGACAATTAATTGATAAATATATTGATTTGTTGAAGAAATATTGATTATCAAGTTTTGGGCAATGAATGTTTCAAAAGCTTTTAGACTTTTGTACACAAAGAAATTTTCTCCTTGAAAATTAGCAAATGTACACAGGGATACCAACTTTTAATTTTGCCAACATTTTGTAAAGACTGCCATTAAAACCCATACCTTGCCCTCAGGAAACTCACAGTCTTTTGTAGCACCTAAAAAGTAAAAGGAATAAAACTAATAAATAAGAAGAGTTCATTAAGATAAAAAGATTAGTTTCATGAAAAATCTTACCACAATGACATCATTCTTTTAATTTCATCACAGAGTATAAAAAACTCCATAGAATAGTATCAGTCTATAGCATTTGAGCTACTGCCTGCCTTAAACTCAAAGGCAAGCGCAGAGACCCACATTTCTCCTAGAGAGTCTTCCCAAAATAAATTGTAGGATTAGAGAAGGGAATAATTCTAACAGGTAATGGTTCATTAGTTTATAGAAATCATGAGAGTAATCATAATAAATCTTAACTTCTTCCATAAAAGATTATGAGTATGTGAAAGAGAACTATGTTCTAGAGCTAAGTTGGTGGGTAGCCAAAAAAAAATCATCAATCTCTCTTAAAACTATGCTCTATCATATATTTTATGTAGGGATATTAATCCATTTACTATGATGGCTTTTTTTGTTTTTTAAAAAGTTTTTTATTTGAGCAGTTGCTACACCCAACGTGGGGCTTGAACTCCTGACCCTGAGATCCAGAGTCACATGCTCCACTGACTGAGCCAGCCAGGCAATCCCTACTATGATGGCTGTTATACAAATTCCCCAAGAGCCAAGAAATTTTAGAAAACATTTAACTTAATAGTGAACAAGCTTGGAACCTACCTAAGGGCGCTTATTTAGTAACTGATATGCCTATTCATATACCTATGCAAATAAATATATGCATTCATGTTCTGGGATCCAGCAGTTTAGGGAAGGCTATTTCTGAACATATGAAATGTTCTCCTATTCTTTCATGAAGTATGCCTCTTGCTATCTTGACATGAAATAAAATTTTCTTAGTTTTTATATTTCGAGTGAGTAATTTTTTTTATCTTAGGAAATATTAATGGAGATATCACAATCCTTATTACCCAAGTTGACATTCTAGATAAGAGATCTGTCTGAAAACTCTTCAGAGCCTTTTCAGAGACTAATTTAACACCTTGTAAGTATTTCCTATGCATAGATTTACAGTTGCACACTTTAAACAGTAATTTGTGGAAAGTTAATGCCGTAGCAAAATTCAAATACCCATGAACCCACCAGGTAATAAAATCCTGTTAGCAGTGGGAATCTACCTTTCAAAATGTGTCATTCTGTATAGAATAAGGCTCTGTCAAAGGGCTGTACTGTGAATCCTTGAGATTAAAGTTTTGGAAATAGTCAGCACTTGCCATTTTAGGTAGAGATTTTCAAGGCACTTTTGGAAAATAGGGTTTCTGTAAGTCGACTGTCTAGTATGTTTTCCTAATAGATGCTATGAACATTGTCCTTTTCAATGATAGGTTTCTCATTCACAGTTCTGTCTAAACTTAGGCTTCTTTTACTTCCGTCCAAAGTAAGATTTAGACTTAATAAAAATCATAAAAGATCAGAAGTATGTATAGTCCAGGGTTATGGATTTTTTTTGTTATTTTTTTAGTGTTTTAATTTATTTTGAGAAAGATTGTGGCAAGCATGGTGGGGGCAGAGAGAGGGAGGGACAGAGGATCAGAAATGGGCACTATGCTGACAGCAGAGGCTTGAAATCACTAAGAATTGTGAGATCGTGACCTGAGCAGAAGTTGGACGCATCACTGACTGAGACACCCAGATGCCCTTCTTTGTAATCTTAATACATTTTTCTTTCAATGCTTCTGTGTTTTTGTGAACACATTTTTCTTTGAATATGGGTATTTTTATGCATAGGACAGTATTTTAAAGCCCTAAAATGTGAGTTCTACTGCTTTTCTAATATTAAACTAAAATAGTATAATTAACAACATATGTTAAGAAACTGTCTTCTATAGAAAAGGAATACTAAAATAGTATAAATAACCTTCTCATTAAACAGGAACTTAAGGTGAGAAAGAAAGTAGAGTTTGTAATACACTCAATTGTAAGAACAGAAAAATTATCTTTATATAGTGATCCACAGTACATGTTGTTTTTATTTTTTTAATGTTTTAACTCTCTTCTAGTTTAGTAGTTCTCCAAATAGAATTTAAAGTAGATAAATAAAGAAAAATGACATTTAAGTAGATATATAAAGTAAGTAAAGTAGATATAGATAAGATTTATTCGAAAGGAATTCTAATAGAAATCATATGTCTCCTTTTGTGCCCAAAGGAGGAGGAACCCAAAGAGATCCCTTCAATATGCTATACCTGTGGGGCATTTCTTCTTGTAGGAATGGTGAATCAGCAAATTAAATACATTACTGTTTTATTTCTGAGTTGTGTTTATGTGACATAGTTTTTTATAATTATGTTTTGAGAGTGAAAAGAGCAGTTGGAGAGTAATAGCATTCAAATGAATGTTATACGTAAATTTATCTTTGCACTCCAGATTAATATATTTTATTATATATATATTATACTAAATGGTTCTAGTTTAACTTAAACACTTTTTAAAAAATTATTTATTTATTTATTTATTTATTTATTTATTTATTTATTTACTGGAGAAAGCTAGAGAGAGCATGAATGTGAGCATGGGAGGAACAGAATGAGAGAGAATCTCAAGCAGGTTCCCAGCTGTCACCGCAGAGCCCAATGTGGAGCTCCATCTCACGAATCTTGACATTATAACTGAGCCAAAATTAAGTCAGTCACTTAACCAGTTGAGCCACCCAGGTGCCCATAAACACTCGTAATATCAGTAATGGTGCTAGTTTTAATAACAAATAAAAAGAAACTGAGGGTTTTTTGAGTATTTTTCTTCAAAGTAGGTTTTTTTTTTTTTTCCTGTTAGTTATAACAGTTCACCCAGAGATATGTTGGGCACCTTACTTTAAGATTTGACATATTGGGTTACCTAGATAGTTCAGTCTTTGTTAAGCATCCAACTTCAGCTCAGGTCATGATCTCGTGGGTCATGAGTTTGAGCCCCACATCAGGCTCTATGCTGTCAGCACAGAGCCTCCTTTGAATCCTCTGTCTCTCTCTCTCTGCCCCTCCCTGGCTCACACTCTCTCTCTCCTTCTCTCAAAAATAATTAAATATTAATAAAATAAGTAAATAAAACTAAAATTGACAGATCAATATAGTATGAACAAAACAAAGTATTTTATATATTTTGCCAATATTAGAATAAGTTTTGTAATTCTCTCATGCTAAGGTAGAATAATAAGAGATCATAATAAAGAAAATAAGATAGCTCCAAACAGCATCTGAAATATGTCACTTATGAAGATGACACATAAACAGCAGCATTTGTTTGAAACCACATTTCCCTTTCATGCAGGTGGGCTACACTGAGGAACTGCAAATAACATTTTTAGATTAGAAATTACACCCTGCCCATGCCCAGGGTCTCTTTTTTTCTATTTAAAACGGTCTTTATTTGGGGTGCCTTGGTTCCTTAGTCCATTAAATATCCAACTCTTGATTTCTGCTCAAGTCATGATCTTGCAATTGTTGGGGTTGATCCCCACCTTGGGCTCTGTGCTGACATGGCAGAACCTACTTGGGATTCTCTCCTGCCCTCTCTCTCTGCCCCTCCCCTGCTCTCTCTCTCCTCTCTCTCTCAAAATAAATAAACATTTTTAAAAAAATAAAATAAAATGGCCTTTATTTGAATACTATAGTAGGTCAAGGAAGTCATCTACCTGGCAACACTTTATTAATAATTGGTAAGTTGTGGTATTGTATATTTCTGAGAGTAATAAACATATTTCCTTTCTACATAGTCATCCCTTCTCCCTACTCTTCTATAGTAGTGAAATTTCTTTTTTTTTTTATAAGAATTTTTTAAAAAGATTTTCTCATTCACTGGGTGTTATATGGAAACCAACTTGACAATAAATTATTTTAAAAAAAGATTTTCTTATTAAGGAATATCTACACCAAACGTGGGGCTCAAACCTGCAACCCCGAGATCAAGAATCACATGTTCTACCAACTGAGCCAGCCAGACACCCCAGTATATTAGTGACAATTCTGCACATCTACTAAAATAAGAATTATAAAGAAAAATGTTTAAATGATTCCAAAATGGATAACATCTTCCATAAGAACATCCTCCAACATCTTGTACTTCAACAGCAGAAAAACACATGAGATGTCTTTTTAAAGTAATGCTGAGCATACATAGGTATATGGAAGAAGTGGACATAATTTTAGTCTCTACTTCTGATCAACTTGCTTTTGCCTTCTTTCCTAGGAAGTGTGTAGAGAGCTCTGGTGTCTCAGCAAAAGCAACCGCTGTGTCACCAACAGTATTCCTGCAGCTGAAGGAACACTCTGTCAAACTGGGAATATTGAAAAGGGGGTAAGCTTAAATGATTTATTAGCTATTTGACAAATAGGCTAAATTGATCAGTTTCTGGTGTTCATATTCAACCACTAGGAAATCATGCATACTAATATAATGTGTACTTGAGAAGATAGTAAATACCTAGCCTAAGGAGTTAATTGATGCATACTGGTATCTGCACATCTACAGTGTTCAGGAAATTACAGTGCTTGTTTATTTTCTGGCTCAGTTACACCTTTCTGTGTATATACATATATATTTGTACAGAAAATCCAACAACAATCTTATAGTCATATAATATAGTCTCTTTAGTCATATAACTCTGAGTTTCTTTCTGATAAATAATTCTCAGGAAAATTATGTGACCCAGAAATAGATTTTATAACTAAAGTGAAACTAAAGTTGATTTTAAATTACGATATGAGGGAAAGGGCTGGTAGTATAGGAATAATTAAATATTTTGCTGAGCATAGAAATTTTAGCTAAATAATTTTAATTTCATCATCTAATTTTCAAAAAATATCATTATTAAGAATTGTTCAAACAGAAAAGAATAGCTTATGCTATTTCTGAAATTCTTTAGGAATTGCTATATATGTGAATCCTAGAATTCGTTGCTATATACTGAATTTACAATAATAACTACGACTGTCTTCTATTCTCAGTTCTGACTTCTTCCATGTTGGGGTACTCTCAACAAAGATTACACTGAATTTCAGTTTGCCATCTGATGTTTAAATAAAAAGAATGAAAGCTTTTGGGCAGCTGTCACAGTTTTATTAATCCTTACTGACGGCTTCATTCAGGACCCATGACCTAGTGCCATGTTGATGGCTTTTCCATGCTGAGTTTGGAAATGTTCGTAAATTGTGCTAAATGTATGAATTGATAGGGTCATTTTTAAAGGATTAAGGATCTTTTTTTGAGACTTTGTAAGTAGCCAATAAAAATACAGGGTACTTTACACACTACCAAAAATTCTTTCTTTTTTTTTTTTTTCACTAAAGTAATAGAAACTAGTAAGAGCTGCATTCTTGAAACAACAGTCTAGGTTTATTTTGGAGTCAGCAGCTCTTGTCAATGACAAGCAGCAATTTACATCAATCTGTACTTAGAAGAAATGCATAATAGTAAGGGGGGAAAGTTACAGTGAGAATCTCTTTCTTTATTGCCATTGATTAATTATTATTTTTGTGATCTAGTCCATGGTCCGTGGTTTAATACTATCACTAAGCCTGATGGCTCTTTTTATCTTAATTTATTTTTTTAATCCCAAGCATAAAGAATTCATTCTTTTAAACATCTCAGAGTCCTCATACAAATATTCTATGAATTATATAATCACTTCAAGTATGAAAACCATGAATACTGGCTATCTGAGAGCACACAGCTAAACCCCACTAATATTTTATTTGGTAGACACATATATTTAAAATCTTCTCATTTATGCTTAATAAGAGAACCATCAAATGTTGCATCTTATAGCTATGTGCATATATGTGATAGAGATGGTATTTTGGGGGAAATTATAGATAATTTTGAGGGATACCAAGAAAACACTCTCAGTAATAACAAAGCTAACAGTACTGAATTTAAATTTACATAAACAAATGAGAGATATAATACTTTTAAGCATTCAGTATAAGCACAGACAAGAGAAAGTGAATGAAATGGTCAAAAATGTATTTGATTTTTAAAGATTCACATTCTTTTATTTTATTTTTTTTTCATGTTTTATTTATTTTTCAGAGAGAGAGAGAGAGAGAGAGACTGAACATAAGTGGGGGAGGGGTATAGAGAGAGAAAGAGAGGGAGACACAGTATCTGAAGCAGGCTCCAGGCTCTGAGCTGTCAACACAGAGCCCAACGCCAGACTCAAACTCATGAGCTATGAGATCATGACCTGAGCTGAAGTTGTATGCTCAACTGACTGAACCACCCAGGTGCCCCTCACATTCTTTTTTTAAAGTTCGGTTATTTGAGTAATCTCAGACACACAATGTGAGGCTCGAACTCACAACTCCAGATCATCAGTGGTGTGCTATTCCAGCTGAGCCAACCAAGCACCCCTAAAAATTCACATTCTTAATCTTGGTTAATGGTTGCCAACTTTTTGATCCCTAAATCCTTTCTTCAAAAGAAATCTACAGAATTCTGATGATACATTTGGGGAAAAAATGGAAATATTCTTGTTTAAAGAACCGTTTTCATACCTCCCCACCCTGGCCATGGACCCTTGTCAGCTTCTGACATGCCTCAACAGAACGGCTTGGGCTCCATGAGAAACTATTTAAGAACTTTGTAAGTGTAGCAAAGTCTGTGTACCAAGAGATCATTCATATTCATAACATCATGTTTTTATATAGTCAGTTTGTTGGATAACACCATCTAAAATTAATCTACAAAACAAATGTTAGCCATCCTTTCAGAGATATGGAAGATCAATAGCTTTAGGAAAAGCCCTAACAAATCATAAATGAATGAATAAAAGAACAAATACATAAGTGGACTCATAGAAAGGAAAAAAGAGCACTATGAGAAGACTCTCAAATTATCTCTATCATTAACAGTGAATTTATGAAGAGGCTTTCAAAGAATTAGATCAACCTACATGTTTAATTAATTGAAAAAAATACAAAGAACTAGAAAAGGGAACTGAGTCATTGTTTATGTTTTATTTATTTTTTACTCACTGCACTTGCCATGTTATTTATGAATTTTTATTGTTGATTTCAGTTACTATTTTTTCCATAAAAGGGAAGCAATGTTTACTGTAGCCAAATGCAGTTTTTTCTCTGAAAGCTATATCTATTTGGAAATTAAATCAGAAATTAGAAATTTGACTTAAAACAACCATGCAAAGAGCTAGAGAACAGTTAAAGTGGAAATTTTAGTCAGTCTGGTCAAATTTGTGTAGCATTAACATATAGTTGGCATTACCAGTAATGATGGTAATGAATATTTATAAAGTATTTACACTGTGCCAGGTACGTATTTGTTCTGTTTAATATTGGCAAAAATCCCATGAGGTAGGTACTGTTTTAACTCCATTTTATAGTTGAGGAAAGTTCAGACTTGAGAACCTAAGATTATACAGCAATTTAATAGCAGAGCTGAGCCTCTATACTAGATCTTTTTACTTTTTTGCTTTCTTTCTTTTTTTAAGTTTTATTTATTTAGATAATCTCTACACCCAATATGGGCTTCAAGCTCATGATCAAGAGTCACATGCTCTTCCCACTAAGCCAGTCAGGCACCCTTGCCTAGGGCTTTCTGATTCTAAAATTGAAAATTTGCCCTCTAGACTACCTCTGGTTTTACTTTACCTTCAGATGGGAAATTTTGCAGAGACAAAAGCCAATTTTTATTGTCACAGGAATAAACCGAGTCATTGAACCTGAGATCAGTGGTAAGAATGTATTCTACCCTTTAATACAAAGTGGATTTTTCACTTATCTACCTGTAACAATATGTTATCTCAAGAATTGCAATAAGAAAGGACTATGGACAGAACATTGAGATAAGAATATACAATTGTGTTATAACTGGTAAAATAATGAAATTCTACTTTATTTACTTATTTATTTTGAGAAAGACAGAGAGTATGAGAAGGGGAGGGGCAGGGAGAGAGGGAGCGAGAGAATCCCAAGCAGGGTCCATGTGGTCATGCACAGAGCCTGACACAGGTTCAGACTCATGAATCATGAGATCATGAGCTGAGCTGAATGAAGTCAGACGCTTAGCTGACTGAACCACCCAGGCACCCCCATCACCACTTTAAAATGAGAGAAATCTATTTCCACGTTTTGTAGCGATCTTGTGAGGATGGAATAAGATAATATATCAGTAAGCTTTTAGTGGGCCTCTTCAGAGGAAAGGTGCTAGTGTATATTACTAGAACATCATTATTCATTTCATTATTTTCCAGCCTTAGATAATGGTGGGCAGAAAATTCTTCACCTGACTGTCTTAACTGGCACTAATGAGGATCAGAGAGTATAAACATGAGTTTGAATGTCTGAGAAAAATGAATGGAATACCCATGACTGACCTCTGATCTCAACTCTGAATTTTAAAACCACTATCTTCAGAAGGAATGAGAAAAAAACCTACATCCAGTCTAGCCAGCAGGATAAAACCAAAGCTGCTCATGGTTTTTTGAATAAATCCTTTTTTTTTCTTTAAAAAAAAATGTTGGGGGAGGGAAAAACGCTGCTCAAGTGATAGCATAGACATATCCAGAGTACTGGATCCACAATGATCTCGTCAAACTCTGGCTGCAAAAGATATGGGATCCCTGCCCGGGGGCGCAGTTCCACAAATGTTCCATGTAAGTATGGGAACTGTTCCATGCACATTTAGCAGATGGAGTAAGAAATATGGCCAAAAAATTAAAAACTGATCTTTGCGTGAGTCCTGGGGGGTCTGACATCGCTATTACAGCCATTGGATGTTTGCCTGAATAAGCCATTCAAGTATTGAATAAGAACCATATGGTCTGAATGGATGTGCTCAGGGACAGTAGCATTAACCAAAGGAGGAAATTTGATGAGCCCAGACGGTGTGCTGGTACTCTGTGTCCACGGGTCACGCTCCTACAAATCAATCAATATAACTTTCAGGCAAAAGAACTTTCCTTAGACATGGCATCAACGATAGCCCTTTGGATAGGAATCGGAGGAATGCCATCCATGATAAAATAATAAACAAAGATTTAGACTGTAAAAACTCTGATAGTAGTGTTGACGTTGTTACTGAACAGGATATTAGGAAAATCAAAACTCAATCATTGCAAACCCTGATGGTGACCAAAAAGTTTCAAAAACTTGGTTTATAGCCAAAGGATTGATTTATTGATTCTAAAAGACCAATTAGAGGTAAATCCCAGCATTCTGGTTTATGAATATATGGCATTGATTCCTGTTATCTTTCATGGGAAACAGAGGGCTGGATTAAAATAGGATGGTTATATACCCTTTTAAAGCACTAGATATGTAATAGGACATTTGTAGTCCTAGATCTTAATTCACTTAGAGTAAAATATAATGTTTTGACTGGGTCCCAAACTATAAACGCAGGAAGTGAAAAAAGAATAGTCGTTTCAATTGCTCTAGAAATTTAAATAGTATGGGATGACAAGTTCTGATTTAGAATTTGGGCTGAAATAAGCTTTTATATTCCCGCACCTGCACAGTGGAAAGATAAGGCTTTTAATAGTGCTGTGTGCTCCAGCTCTCAGCCTTTCTGACTTGGGAAGAAAGTTCCATATTGAATCACCAGTATCACTTCCTTCAGAATCTTAGGATTTCCTAAGGGGTCTGTCATTCCAGATGCTGGCTGGACCCAAAGTGTTGGCTATGGTACAAGATCTACCATAATCACATTTTAAAATGGTTCTTATTTAAAAAAATATACGTGTATATATTTTTAAATACTGTATATACTCATCTTGAAATTTTCCTTTGTGGAATTCTGACAAATTCTCATGTAGATTGTTTTATTTGTAATATATCTTATTTGAACATAATTCCCTGATGTAGATCATGAAATTTAGTGGTCTAATATCAAAAAATGTTGTTTAGGATGAGTGTTTCCTAAGAAAACCTTTAAAGCCTCACTGGAATGTATTGTCGTTCTAGATAGTTTTAATAACATATTTTATTTAGAAGGAATGTAAAAAGCAAAAATGAGCAATATGATATTTTATTCTTGAAATGTGATAGTTTCAGTTCCATCACCTTTCCGAATCTGGTTTAACATGACTGAATGAGCAAAAAGAAGGCCAAATTTACCCAATTTATCCAGAAAATTTAGGCTGAAGTAACACAACAGACCTGGTGAATCTGGTTTAACACACCTGAATTAGCAAAAAGAAAGCCAAATTTACCAACTTATCTAGAAAATTTAGGCTGAAGTAACACAATGGATAATTTAGAATAGTCCAAAATCACTAGATTGGATATAACCTTTGAGAATAAAGATCTGGTCTCCATCTGAATATTTAACTTCTGTAGTTTTCAGAAATGAAGTAAAATCCTGTGCCTGTAGAAACAGAACTTTCACAGGTTCAGCAACTTGATGAAACAAAAAGAAGAAGAAAAGTAGAAAATACAATACTCAAAATTCTCAGCTTTGTGTGCTTATAAGATTTATATAGTTCAAATTGCTTTATTTTGTGTAATATTATATTACTTATGACTTACATTAAAATTTTAGTACATATTAATTAATGTAATAATCTAGAAAATTAGCTCAACTAACTTGATCTACATGAAATTCCCTAGAGTTTTCACTTTTCATAAAGCATTTATTATTAATTTAATTAAATTTCTCCTCTAAAGTCATATACTACATCAAGATACTTAACCACTGCTAGAGCAGAGAAATAGCAAGAATTCCAAAGAGATCTTTTACTGTAAGTAAATATAACTCAAAGTCCTTTACTGAACTAAACATAACGCAGAAGACCATTTTGCCAGAGATCAAAATCAACCAAGTCCTTTGGTAGATTTTTAATTTCTTTGAAAGCATATCTGCACAGAACTAATTTCTAAAGCTGTCCTAATCCAAACCACATTGGATTTTAAAATTAGAATAATTAGTCCCTCTTTTATAGTTAGGGAATGTGAATAAACAAATGACTTGCTTTGGACCAAAGATATTAATAGAATAAGAACTCAGGTTTGTAACACAGACTATACACAGACTATAACTGTTAACTTGTTAACTAATTAACTAAGTTGTTGACTAGTTATTAAGCTAGACACTAGTCTTTTGTCAATGTCTAGATGACTGATACTTATATTACTATTTTGAATTCTTCATTTTTTAGCCATTAATATTTGTTATTTAACTTTCTGATACAATTGTCTATTTTAACTCCATGGAATGGATACAATTCAATAACATGAATTTATACAATAAAAGGTTCTAGCAAGCCACATATGAAATACTACAGCTGTGTAGGTGTTAATTAATGATGAGAACTGAGAAGCATCCTACAAACTGAATATTGCATTTGTCTTTTACCTTAAGAATAAATTTTAAAAGGAAAACAACAATTTATGTGACTGCTTTCCATGTCCTATATTTTGTGAGCATCCAGCAAACACGTATAACAGTTATTATTAAATACTTTGGAACCTACGTCTTTCGGTATTCTTATAGCCTTCACAATTTCTCTGTCCTCTTAAAAATACAAAAATAAAGTTTTTTTTAAATCTGTAATTTATAAGAATACTCAAAGAGTTCTGAAATAACATAGGGTTGTATACTTGCAGCTAAGAATTTTTCTCCTAGTTTTTTTTTGTATTTTATGAAGTAAAGGTAGTCCAGTATTCTATAATACTATAATATACTTCAAATATATAATCCTATACCAGTAGTTGGGTTTTTTTCCCCACTGATTTTTGTGTATTTTTGGACAGATAATTTTTATCTGCCCCTAAGTGACTATGGGCAAGTTAGCCTCCTTAAGTTACATGTTTCTTCATATGAAAAAATGAAGTGCTTATACCACATCATTTCAGAGTCTCTCTGAGCTTTAGATTGAGCTCTGTGATTATACAAAATAAATGTAAAGTAAAATTTTAATATTATTCAATATCAATAATGCTAAACTTCCAACTTGAAAAATAGGTAAATTTTAAGAGTATTTAAAAAATAATACATTGCTAGTTATTCTCATAAGAAAATAAATGCAGGCATAAATATTATTATATGGGTTACCTAGGTGACTCAGTCAGTTGAGTGTCCATCTGACTCTTGATTTTGGATTAGGTCATGATTTCAGGGTCATGGGATCGAGCCCCACATTGGGCTCTGCACCGAGTATGGAGCCTGCTTAAGATTCATTCTCTCTCTCCCTCTGCCCCTCTCCCCTCCTCTCTCTTGCTCACTCTCAAAATACATACATACATACTTATTATTATTATTATTACTATTATTATTATACATAGCTACTTGTAATAACAAAAATGCAAAATTAGAGATTATTTGGCTCAAATTGTGACTTTTGTATAGGTGAAGGCCTAACGCAGCTGGTATATCATTATACAAATGGTTGGTCTTCAAAATCAATTATGCCGTACACTGGCTGCTAAAATATTTCCTGTCTCTCACATATACGTTATTATTAGCTGCCTTTCTCCCAGTTTTGGCACTGTATTATCAGCCGCTACCTCTGGTTCACCATTTTAGACCTATGAGTTTTTTCTTCATGGCAATTTCCATTGCCCAAAACTAATCATTTTTCTTAATGTCCTACTTTAATATTGATTAGACTTAGGGTCAGAATGTTCTGCCTTATAGCCAATCGGATTTTTACTTACTCTTGCCTAATTTTTTGTGGACAAATGAAAATTAATTACCTAGCACTTCTCTCAAAGATTCCTTTATGTTGTTACAACTACTAAAAAGTGACTTAGTGCAACTATCATGGAAACAAAGATGACTTTGACATTTTTTTACCCTCCAGTATCTCTAATTCCTTACTTACATGTAGTAAGGATCTGGACATGTGGTCCAGAATAGGACACAGAATTCTGTACTTTAACTAATGTATTCATCAATTCAGTAAATTTTATTGTATATCTACTACATGCTAGACATTGTTCTAGACATTCAGCATTTATAATAGAACATTCTGTGATGACAAATTCTTTGTATTTGCTCTGTCCAACCTACTAGCTACTGGCCATGTGTGGCTATGAAGCCCTAGGAATGTGGCTAGTGCATCTGTGGAACTGAAATTTAAATTTTAATTAAATTTAAATAGCATATTTATTGCTATATAACATTATGTATTTAATATGTAGGTATATTTCTTTAAAAACAGACTCATAGATACAGAGAATAGTTTGGTGTTTGCCAGAGATGGGGGTCAGGGGTGGGAGAAATGGGTCAACTGCTTTTGTTTATGTCTTTTTAGTTCAAGTAATGTTTTTAAATAAGGGATATTAAAATACAACAAATTTTTATAAAGCAAATTTATTTTAAATTTTTAATGTTTATTTTTGAGATAGAGGGAGAGAGCATGAATGGGAGTGGGGGGGCGGCGGGGCACAGAATAGAAGCAGCTTCCAGGCTCCATGCTGTCAGTACAGAGCCCAGTGTGGGTTCAGACCCACAAACTCTGAGATCATGACCTGAGCCGAAACCAGACTCTCAACCTACTGAGCCACTCAGGCGCCCCTCAACAAATTTTTGAAAAAATGCTCAGAGCCATCACCTATAGGAAGAGATAAATGTGAGTCATTCATTGTGGAGAGAAACAAATCTTCCTAAGGGTACCTATTGATTCTTTTCTGTATCCTGGAAGATTTGTGTAGCCTTCCAAGAATTTAGTATCATCATCAGGGCAGGAACTTAGCTTTCTCTGCAAGTTGCAAAACCCTCATTCCTACATGTGAGCATTCCATTTTAACAGTGATATTAGCTAATTTAGTTGAAGTTTTTTGATATGAGTCAACTATTACTCTACTCACTTTATGTGCCCTACTAGATGGATTGTGTTATTGTTCCAGTTTACAGATAAGAAAATGGAGATCCAGAGAAATTAAACAATTTGACCCATCATCACTAACATTATATCAGGTACTTTCTACACCCCTATACCAGGTTCTTCACATTATCTTTATTTAATCTTCCATGCTATAGGCTCTATTATTATTTACCTTTTTACTTATGAAAAAGCTCAGGTGCAGACAGATGAAGTTACTTACTCAATATCTCAGTTCTTATTCAGGTCTCAGTTCTCAACCTTCATGTTATCCTGCTTCTCAGGATATATTTTGGTCAAATAACTTGATTATTTGTGGACTTAGATATGTTGCTGAACTTTTCCCTTCAAAACATAGTTTTAGAAAAAGCATAGATGAACTGCCTAAAATGAGTATTATGCTACGCTTATAATTTTTAAATAAATAAATAGCCATATGTGCATCCCCTGGTTTTACATACTAATGAGAAGAGACAAATAATAAAGAAGTAATTTGAAAAATAAATAGAGTAATTTAAAATAGTTTTAAGTGGGGGTACCTGGGTGGCTCAGTCTGTGACGCATCCGACTTTGGCTCAGGTCATGATATCATGGTTTGGAGGTTTGAGCCTCATGTCGGGCTCTGTGCTGACAGCTATCTCAGACCTGGAACCTACTTCAGATTCTGTGTCTCCCTCTCTCTCTGCCCCTCCCCTTCTCATGCTCTGTCTTTCTCTGTCCCTCAGTAATAAATAAATGTTAAAAAATTTTTTAAACAAAATAATAAAAAAATAAAATAGTATTAAGTGGTAAGAGGGAACTAAAGTAGGAGGTGTATTCTCTATTACAGTCTAGAGTTGGAGAAGGGGAGGTGAGGGGGAGGTACCCCATGTTCAGAATGAGGGTTGTCAAGGAAAGACCTCTCTGATGAAAGGACCTTGAGACTGAATGATGAGAAGACAACAACATAAATAATTAAGAGAAGAATATTCCCAGAAGGACCAGCAAATGCAAATGCCCAAAAGAGGGAACAAATTTAGTGTACTGAGGAAAATAAAGAATTCCCGTGGTCTGGACCAAACTGTGCGAGAGAGAATAAGACTGGAGAAGGAGATAGTGATCACAAAGGATACTGATGACCAGAGTTAAGGGAGGCAGGAAACTAGTGCAATTGTTTAAGCAAAAAGTGACATGATATGATAATGTTTTAAAAAGATCTCTCCTGAAGTGCTTACTAGAGAATAGATTGATTATAGGTAGAAAAAAAGTAGAGCCAGAGAGACCAGGTAAGAAGCTATTTCATTTGCCTATTTCATCTAAGGTGGTAGCCATGAAATGGTGAAAAGTGAAAAAATTCCAGATACATGAAAGTAGTGTAATAAACTGATTACTTTCTAAGCATTGCATATTATAATACCTTCACATTTTAATATGAAGTTGATTTTTTTATATATCTGATATTACTGATAGTATTCTAATAATGTTTTATTGTTATTAATATTAAAAATGATTTTCACAGTAGAAACTAATTTGACAATAAACTATTTGTAAAAAAAAAATAAATAAATAAAATAAGGGAATAATGTCCAAAAAAAAAAAAAAATGATTTTCACAGCATCAGGATGGTTTGTCAAAATTCGATAATTCAGAAAAAAGCACCAATAAAAGCCTAGAAATTCTTGGTTTAGAAAAAAAGATTTCATTTTTACCATATTCTCCAAATAAGATTTATCATGTTAGAGTTATGAGCTGATTATGTGATGTCTGCATCTCGATAAATTATTCCTGGCTTTCTACTTACATGCAGTATGTGTGGTTTACTGTAGAGTAAAGCTGAAAGAATTCCAGTACACATGTTCATGCAGGGGTTATATACACATGGCTAGGCAGTGTATGTAAGAGTTTTTTGTACCCCGTCCCTAGTATCTTGGCATTACTTTTATTATGTCTGCAGGACTCGTGTAGATGAAATGCCACAACACATTCTTTTACTATTGTAGCCTCAACGAGTTTTTTTTTTTTTTTTTTTTTTTTTAAGTAAAAGCAATTACCATCATAAAAATTCCTTACTGGGGAACTTTCCATATTGCGTTATCATTTCATGAGTCTAATATAGAGAAATATATTAATATAGAGAAAAATATATAGAGAAATATAGAGAAAAAATATTTTAATGCTAAAATATCTAAAAAAGACTTTTGAGGTCTCTTTAATAAGAAACACTAGGATTCTGGAAGCAAGGAAATAAAAAAGGAAGTAAAGTCAAGTTTTCTAGACTCTTGGTATGTGTTAGAGATGTATAAATCATTGCCCACCTAAAGATAATTTTCAAATCACATGCACCTTTGCCATTGTCTAAACAGTTAAAGAACTCTCAGTCTGTTATCTATTGGAGAATGCTAATGCTGGTAATTGGTCATTGCCGGACCCTTATGTATTTCAAACCTGATAGCTGTATCTGCCTAAAAGCTAATTCTGTGTTTTCTGTGAAATCTTGCAGTGGTGTTATCAGGGAGATTGTGTTCCTTTTGGCACTTGGCCCCAGAGCATAGATGGGGGCTGGGGTCCCTGGTCACTATGGGGAGAGTGCAGCAGAACCTGCGGGGGCGGCGTCTCCTCATCCCTAAGACACTGTGACAGTCCAGCGTAAGTAGCTAAAGTAAGCCGGAGCCAACAAAAAGACACAGTTGGAAATGATTCAAAGCTGTGGTTTCACATGTTATCTGTAAAAACGTTTCAGTAGTGAGCCAAGTGTTTGTCTTCTGAACAAGCAATAGGCACAGGGAGGTAGAAGAGCCTTGTTAGACAGACTCTTTTTCTCCCCACCCACTCTTACTGTGTAACTAAAAATAAAAGAAAAAAGAATAGCATTGTGTATCTATTCCAGGTATAGCCAGACTTTTAATCTAGTAATAATCAGATAGATTTCCTCCTCCGAAAACTACTGAATTATGGATGAATCCAGGTCTGGTCTTAGCTGCATTACCATTATTCCCAGGAAACCTAAGTTCTTTTCACATGTCACATAAAATTATTACTGCTACATTAGTATTAAAAGGACCAATGAGAGCACTTCAAGGGTTGAAATGCCTTGATTCGCATCACAAATCACAATGAAAAGAATACTGCCCATGTGTTAAAATAGTTTCCATTCACATGCCCCTATTAATCATTTTCCAGAGCTGCCACCACTTTTCTCCTCATGACTGTTTCATGCAGGTTGGACTGCTCCTCTCCCACCACTCTTTTTCTCTGGTCAGAGTCCCCCTGGCTTAAGGCCAGCCCCATCAGTATTCTCTGGTAGCTGAATTGCCTCTCCCTCTCACCAGTGCCCATTACAGGTGGACCAGAGTCTCCCAGCTGGACTTTCTTGTCCACCCAGACACCAAACTGCTCCTTAGCTGCTGCATGTCAAGTACTCCCATTTTTGTCTAGAGCTCAGGTTGCAGGCCTCCTGTCCCAACTAATGTTTGGTACAGCGTGGCGTTATATCCCTTCTGCTTTTTTCCCCTTCCTGGGGTAAAAGTTGCTTTAATTTTTAATTTTTCTCTTCTTGACTCAGGATCCTTCTCTTTGGTTCCTCTCTCTGAACATCTCTTTTGTTCTTTTTTACTCTTTTCAGCTTGAAATTATTTCCCTTTACACAGTTCTGTGTTTCCATTCCCCAACTTTCTTTCCATTATTATCTTCCTGCTAAACAGAGCTCACTGTCACCCACTCATCAACCAGTCATGCCACCGCCATCCCCTGGCCCTTGTTTTTGTCTGACTAACCTATTGCTCCCAAGCTGGTTTAAACTGGGCCATTTCTTTTCCTTCTTAGAGTCAGTATTCTCTGGCATTCAAAATGTAACTTTAATTATTCCACTGATTACCAGTGAGCCAAAAATATAATTATACTTGATCTTGTTTTTCAAACAAGTACAGAATGATTACCTAAGTTCACTGCAGGCTACTGTAAATCAATAACCAAAATTATAAAATTCTATGATAAAAAGTAATATACCCAGATAGTTATAAAAGAAGTTAGTTTTTTCCATTCAAAATAGCATGCCCAAATAATAACATATGGCTTTTTCTGGTGTTAAATACTTTAAAAATTAATTTACATGCAAATCAAATATTGGGCATCTTACTTTTTCATTAATATGAGTGTAATATGCAGTATTTATATAATGCAAAGCCATCTTATTTACAGATGTAATTTTTCAAACTTCATATAATGAGATAGAAATTCGTTTCTGCATTATTTACTTTGAACCAAAGCTATTTCCAGAGAGTAATTTAGTAGGCTTTTGTTGCAGTTTGGAAAAAATCGTAAACTTACCTGTTTCCTAGGTGGTGAACAGATAACATCAGATTATGGCTTTTGTTGAATAAGATTCAAATGGCTTTTCATTATAAGTGATTTTTAAACTCATTGTGTTGAACTGAGCACCTGCTTACTATGATAACTAGAAAAGAAATTTATTTAGTTGCATTTTCTTAAGAATGTAAGTCTTGACAATTCAGAGCCTTAAAAAGTTATTCATAGCAAACTGGCTTAATTTTTATGTTCAACAACCATAATCATCATTGTTAACAATCACCAGCATGACTATTACTTTAATAATGAATAAAATGTCAAATTTTGTATTTTCTTAAAATTAATGCTAATGTGTTTTTGTCAAGCAATATATGTACACTTTATGTAGACAGATATATTCACATGTTAAACAAAATGTGTTTTCAGACCTTCAGGAGGTGGAAAATATTGCCTTGGGGAAAGGAAACGGTATCGCTCCTGTAACACAGATGTAAGTAAAACCAAACTTTGCTATGAAAAATTAGCTTACATTTCCCCTAGAGCAGGGAAATTTTTAAAACTGGAAGCTATTTGATCATAAATCCTTGTGTATGAAGGTCACATGAATTTTTTAAGTTGTTAATAATGAGTGGAACCGGCCTCAGATCCAGCAATTCCATCAACAAGGAACTAGGGAAGGCTCCATCACTGGGGGCAAATACAGTCTCCTCCAAGAGGTATCAAGAGAAAGTCATAGGTCCCCCAAAATGACTTGTTCCCCCAACACTCACACTTTTGCCACCACTATCTTTTCTGAGTCCACCAGGATTAATCTTATTATGCCCTTTATCCTATTTTATGTTTGCCACTGTAAGAAACCCCAGATTCCCACATCATTCCTCATGTCTTGCCACCCAATTCCATAAAGTTCTGCATGTCACATCTTCCATTTCCTATCTCTGCCCAACTTTTGAAACTTTTCTTCCGTGCCCTTAGGAATTCAAGATCCCTTGGCAGCAAAAGCCCTTTATATTCCGATGTCTCTGAATTTTCCTTCTCTTCACTTTCTTTGTTCTAATGGAAACCCCCTGTCCTCTAAAGATACTTATATTAACTTTAGCCCTCTAAAGTTGTCTTCATCCTTAACTGTTGAATGAATGGAAGTGTATTGACTATCCTTTTTATATCTCATTTCTCCTTTCATATGATTCTTCCTCCCTCCAATCTAAAAGCCACACCTTTTAATTTCACGTCATCAGACTCTTACACACTATTCCTCATTGTCATGCTCTCCAACTCTATTCCTATTTTAATTCTTAGTTATTTCATAAATTGGTTATTTTTCCAATATCATCTCTTGTGAATTTTTCCATAAACATACATACACACTGTTATTTCTTCTATCTTTAAGGAACAAAAACAAAAAACCTGCCGGTTATTTTCCTATGTTTTTCTTCCTTTTGAAACAAAATTCCTTAAAAGAATTACATATGTCCATATCCAATTCTTCTTCTAATTTTTTCCTAAAATTATTCCTGTCAGATTTTTGCCTCCATCATTCTACTAAAATTGCTCTTGTGTGGGGTGCCTGGGTGGTTCTGTTGGTTAAGCGTCTGACTTCAGCTCAGGTCATGATCTCATGGCTCATGAGTTCGAGCCCCATGTCAGGCTCTCTGCTGACAGCTCAGAGCCTGGAGTCTGCTTCAGATTCTGTGTCTACCTTCTCTCTGCAACACCCCCACCCCCTCAACTGGTGCTCTGTCTTTTTATCTCTCTCTCAAAAATAGACAAAACATTTTTAAAAATGTTTTTGTCAAGTTATAGATGACTTCCATGTTGCTAAATTCAATAGTCAGTTCTGAGTGTTCATCTTACCTGATAGTCACTAGGCTTCCATAATGCTACAACTCTTTGGTTGTCCTTTTCTTTTCTTACTTGTTTTTCTCATTCTCCTTTCCTGGTTCCTACTCTTTTCTCTGACCTCTTAGAGTACCTAGGACCTAGTCACTGACCTTTTTTGGTATACTACTAATATTTACATTGGTGATCTCATCCAGTTTCATTAATTTTGATAGCATTCATATGCCATTTGACCCCCAAATTTATATTTTCAGCCCAGATTTATTTCATGGATTCCAGACTCATATCTTATCCATTGATTAGACTTTTAATAGACATCTAATATTTAACATGTCCAAATGCTATCTCTAAAACATTTCTACATACCTATACCTCCCTCAGTTTTCCCATCTCAGATAACAGCTCCATCTGCCTTTTTTCTTTTTCTTTTTCTTTTTTTTTTAATTATTCTTGATCTCATTCTCTCACAGCTCATAAGCAATCCCTTAGGATAGGCTTTCCCTCAAAGCCATTGGCCTTCCCTCCACGATATACCCTAGATCTGACTAGTTCTCACTGCCTCCACTGCTGCTACTCCATTTTTTACTGAATTACTCTTAAGAGCTTTTTCTGTGGATTTCTCATTACTACTTTTGTTACCTGTAGTTCTCAATGTATAAGAAACAGTAAATTAGATTATATCCTTTACTGAAAACCTTTTAGTGGCTCCCCATTTTACTTAAATCCAAGGTCTTTACAAAGACCTGCAAAGACTGTACAATATAACCTTCCATTACTTTTCTGAACTAATCTCTTACTCTTTCCTGCTCAATAACTTTACTCCAGCCACACAGGCCTCCTTCCTTTTACACACCAGGCGTGCTCCCACCTTTAGTACTTTTGCATTGCCTGTTTCCTTTACCTTATGTACTCTTCTCCCAAAATATCTACATGACTAACTCTCTTAAGATGTTAAATTTGCATCTTAAAGTAATTACTTGTAGCTTCAATTACAATGACTGTTTCAAGTTACTAGCATTATTTATTCATTCACTCGACAAATCATTGAGTGCCCGCTGTATCTCAGGTTGTTCTAGAGAGAGAATGATAATCTGTGCTCTCAAGGATCTTATAATTTCCAGGAAAATCACTCAAATGCAGAAAATTACCACATATCTATGATATGATAGAATAATTATGGGATGCTTTAAAGGCACACGAAATTCGCACTAGCCTAATTAATGATTTAGGGGGTACTTCCCAGAGGCAGATAAAGATCTGAAGGGCAAAAAGGAGCTGACCAGGAAAGAAAGAAGTGACCATGAGAACATTCTAGGCAGAAAGAAAATTAAGTACAAGGCACTCAATTTAACTTAAGGTTAAAGAGCATGATCTTTATCTTGAGGCAGTAAGAGCCGTTCAAAGACTTAGCCTCCAATTTATACTTTAGATGAGAATGGATTGGAAAAGGTGAGACTACAACAGAGCAATAAACAAGTCAGAAAGAATTTGAGGGCACTCGTGGGAGAGGCAGTGGAGTCTAAAGATGGCTAAAAGGAGAAAATTAAGGACCTAACATCAAAAACCCATAAAAATTAAAAAAAAACAAAAACAGAAAAACAGTATAGTAGGAAGAACCAGGGGAGGGAGATAGAAGGTGTGGGGATCAGAGACTGTATTTGCATTTCAGATATGACAAGTGAGACTATTCTCAATGATGACAATTCTACCAAGGGAATGCATGCCTAACCTTGGGCAGAGATGAAGGAGTTCAAGGATCTTCGAAGAGAGGGAACTTGAGTTTTCTATGTGGATGTTGAGGTCATTGAGGATGATTTTAGAACTTGGAGTGTAGCATGAGGCTGTGAAGCAGGTACCAGACCCTTTCATAACTGAGGGAAATTGACCATGATGGATGTAAAAATGATGAAGCCAGACAGTGATTTGGATGAATAGCATGAATTTCAGAAGAACAGAGATTTTACACAAGGATAGAAGAAAAGAATATCTACTGTATACCATACTGTGTTAGACAGGAGTGAGAAAGCCAAACCCATGTCTCAATTCACATCTGTTTCTGTTGTTATGTAATTGTAAGGGCAGGCACATGTTTTGGCTCTAATAAGATAGTTACTGACTATAATATGAATAATGTATGATAAGTAAGAGAAAAAGGAAAAAAATGTGCCAGACATATCAGGCTTGTTGCTTTTTACCCATAAACTTCCTTTTAGATGCTCAAATTGTAGAGGCACCTGGGTGGCTCAGTGGGTTAAGCATCTGACTTCAGCTCAGGTCATGATCTCACAGATCATGGGTTCAAGCCCCTCATCAGGCTCTGTGCTGAGAATTCAGAGCATGGAGCCTGCCTCAGACTCTTTGCCTTTCTCTCTGCCCCTCCTCCACTCATGCTCTTTCTCGCCCTCAAAAATAAGTAAACATTAGATGCTCAAATTGTAGAACCTGCTGTTGGTAGGTTGACACTTCTATTATTAGCTTTGTCTTCTGTTTCAGCTTTCAGCAAATGATATAGTTAGCATAACTATATCATGGAAATACAATTTTTTGTTCTTAAATCTAAGACTCTACTAGTTCAGAGTATGAGATAAATCAGTTACCACACTGAAATTTATTTTCATGCTATCTAAGTTAAAACAACCTGAGTATAAGTTTTTAAGCCGGGGATTTTTAAAGTATAATCTAATATATGAAAATTTAAACTTTCAGAACACATAATTTAGCCAGCACTGTCCAAGAGAATTTTCCTCAGTGATGGAAATATTCTATATGTGCATTGTCTAGCCTGATAGCCACTAGCCAAATTAGCTATTGGGCACTTGAAATATGGCTAGTGTAATTGCAAAACAGAACTTTTAAGTGGAATTAATTTAAATTTGAAAAGCCACACATTGCTCATGGCAACCATACTAGACCACACTGAGCTACACAGTCTAGCTATGCAGTAGAAAAATGTCATAAAGAAGATTGTAAACATTATATATAAAATTCTCAAAACAAATCAACCTTAGATCATTTTGGAAACAAATGTAGACTATTTCCATTTTTGGTAATGATAGAATAAGTTATTCTGACAGAACTCTTTTAAAAAATTATTGAATAAGAATTGTTTAAAACATCGCTTTAAAATCCCCAAAGAGCTGACAAGATAATGAGGGAAATTCCTGAAGGTCTTCTTTGAGAAGGGGAAATTCAAATGTAAGTGGAGCATCAGAGCACCTAAAGTACTTTTGCCCTGACAATATCCAGAGGAAGAGAAGAGATAAGCTGCTCCTGTGTCTCTTTCTTACTTAAAAGGAACGTTTTTCCCAAAGCCCCTCTCCTCCTCCCTCTGACAGATTCCCTTTATGTTTTATTTGGCCTGGAGGCCACATGCCCATTTTTAAACCAATCATGGCCAAAAACAATGGGATTACTATAATTAGTTTAGACTAATCCAGATTTGCCCCTGAAATGAGGTTAAGGTCACATTTCCTGAGAGGTAGATTCCTGACCAAAAATTAGAATTCTGTTAGCAATAAAGTAGAGAGTGTAGATACTGGGTACACCACACATGTCTGCCTCAGTGCTCCTTTAGTTTCCAGCTTTACTAGTGAAGTAGCAGCAACAGAAGTGGTAGTGGTAGTGGTAGTGGCTACTGCTAACATTTATTGA